TCATGAATCCTAGGAACAGGGACACACAACTTAAGGTCAGCACATTTACAAAGTGACCACCACATGTCAAAGCCAAAAGGCTTTACTTAAGCAATTATAATTAACAGGTACAGTACATAAGTCCAACTCCTAAATTCTCTAATATCTGTAGCAGAAAAAGAAAGCAAACAGAGACAAACCAGAAGCCAGTTACAGCCACCCTGAGATAATGTTCCTGACCCCTGCCCAGATCACTGTCTACACCACTAACCTTTTCACATTTCCAGCTTTTTCTAAATGCATCACAAGTTTAGCCCAAGGAACCTAATTCAACACCATCTGAGTAATTACTTATATACTAAAATGTATGCTCTTGTCAACAGGAACTTAAAGCCAGAAGATAAAAGATACAGTAACAAATGCATATAAATTAGTGAATATAAACCCCAGCCATTAAAATTTATAAAGAAATGTATCAACTTAGCCCAAAATGTTAGAGAAATTATTTCTTGTGTGAAATTATGGCACTAGCCTGAGAACTCACTAACCAGTTTTACTTCCTTTTACCAACATTTGTCCTTAGGAAAAGCAGAAAGAGCCTTGTCACAGTGATTCCTGGAATTATTATAAAAGACTATCTTTTAACAAGGGAAATTCAGGACTCTCTTGAACTAATCATTAGCTATCTTTAAGCTATTACCTGTAACAAAGGTGCAATTTAAAATCACCCTAACTTACTTTACCAGCAAGATAAGGTATTCCTGCCACCTTTAAAACAAAATTCACCCTCGTAAACATTCTGGTTAAGTAAGATCTCCAAAGAGTACCAGCTTTGGGCTTCAGGAGTGTGTCCTCCAGACAACTGTTTTGTTTCATAATGTTTCAATTAACAGAGCTAGATTCTGATGACATTAAATGGTCAGAAAGAGCTCAGGAGATGTTTTACTTCATAGAGTACCTATTTCACAAGCATGAGAACACACATGAATCCTAAGATAAATTAAGTATTCAGGATTCAACTATCAAAGACTGTTGCTATAGTCTGTTGAGATGGCTCAGGGGGTAAAGACACTTGCCAACAAGTCTGACAACCTAAATTTAATCTACAGAATCCACATGATGGAAATAACCAACTCCCAAGTTGTCCGCTAACCTGCACACACATGCTGTAGCCCATGTACACAATACATACACATACACACACGTAAACAAAGTTCTAAAGCCTATTGAGTCGAATAGCTTACAAACTCTGCAATAGTCTCTGCTCTTTAAAAAAATGCTTTTAGATACTCTTGATTTCAGGCCTTTTTCAAGTACCAAATAAGAGTATTTTAGAGACAATACTGCAAATAAAATAAACTACATTTTTCACACCTAGAGACGTAAGATACTTTTATAAACTGGAATAAAACTAAAGTGGTTTCTTTTCCTTCTGTTCTTTCCATCCTAGAGTCCCTTCAGCTGTTCTAACAAAGTACTTTCTTGAGACATTCCAATACAATTAACCATTTGAAACTGAGTGATAAACTACTTTAGAAAGTATAAATACAAACAATATCAAAAGATAGGGAGTTGTTTTCTAGCTAGATGTAGCATTTCCTGAAATCCTGAAGATTATTACATTTTTATTCAAGAGTGAAAGACACATTTAAACAGTATGATGAGACATTAAACAGCCAGCTCTTTAGAAAAGGCCACATTTGTTACAAAGACTAAAGCAGTTAATAGGAAGGAAAAAATGATCCGCAAAACCCTCTAGCTTCTCTAATAAGCCACCCTTTAAACTATCAGCAGCTTTTAAAGAAAAAAGCTGCATATATGTCGATCTCAGATTACTAAGTTGAGAGTTATCTTGTAATAAGCACGCTAAAAGGAGTTTCAAGGGATTTGGACGAAAATCCCAACAACTGGTCTAGGACTAATCCTTGAAATTTCAGGAAATAAATTAAGGCTTCAAATGCTGCTACTGACTGGTAGGAAGGAAGTATTCATGCAGCATCCAGGAGACTATGGCTGAAAATAGGTCAAGCTTTCCTGACAAAGTTTAAGTGGGCCCTGGGAAAAAAGTCTAGAAGAATCAAAATCTAGTGCCAAAGAAAATACCTCTACAATTGAAGTTTAAAGTAAATGGATAAAGCCATTTCCTCCCAGGATTTAACCACTGTAAACATGCCAATGTTCTAGACAGCCACTATCAGATGACCCTACACAGTTCACACCTAACAGTGCAACTTATCTGCCCTCCTACTGGGAAACTCTATCTAGACAACAGTAGCAAGCCTTAATCACTCATTAAAGCTGTGTCAACCATCCTCTGGCTTCCAAGACGGCAATATCTCATTCATAGATGATTAAACTTAGAAGCTGAGAAACCTCAGAAGCACAGTGTCAGAATGGGTGGGGGGGACCTTATCTCCCTCCTACTACAGAAAATTCCTTAAACCCACCCCACACTGAACTACTAACTTCATTCTGAGCATTTTGGTTACTACTACTCCCAGTTTCAACAATGAACTGTCATGACATTAATGCCAGGTAGCATAAATAGTATGCATCAAACAGTGAACTAGGCTATTTACAATTAACATTTATTGAGTATCTATTGTATGCCAGATGCTGTTTTGAGCACCTACAACAACCTCATAAGGTAGCTACCATTACCTTTATTTTTATACATGAAGAAACCAGAGCATAAAGAGCTTTAATAATCTGCACAAAGGCAAATAATGTGGAGATGTAGTATTCACAGTGAGATGCCTAGTTCTACAAGCCATGCTCTTAAATTCCAGCATTTCCCTCTCCCAAGAGGAATGTCTGCAGTGTTTCTCACTTATCATTTCAACTTTGTGAGCTGCATATTTTATTTTATTTTATCTTGGGGGTGGGGTTTCGAGACAGGGTTTCTCTGTGTAGTTTTGGTGCCTGTCCTGGATCTCATTCTGTAGACCAGGCTGGCCTCAAACTCATGGAGATCCACCTGGCTCTGCCTCCCAAGTGCTGGGATTAAAGGCATGTGCCACTGCCACACAGCGAGCTGCATATTTTCAATCCCAATTCATAGATGAAACTCAGCAAGGTGAAATGTTTTACCTAAAGCCATACAGTTTTGCATTAGGGCAAAAATTTATTATTTTGGAGCCTCACTTCTGAACTGTTAATAATCAGTCAGAAGACGGTACAAACTATAAAATGAAAAGAAATACAAACCTATTTTAAGATAGTCAATTGCTTTTGAAGATTCTAGGCTGTCTGTAAGTTTTTCTAAAAAATATTTAAATAGGAAAAAAAACATGTTAACGTCGTAAGAGATCAACAAAAATAGTCTCTTGATGGTCAAAAATAATGTGGCAGAAAAATCTTCAAGTTTTAAGACATTATAATCTTTTACTATGACTCCACATCATTCTTGTGTGGCCATACAATACAGACACACTGCTACCTAACAACCACCCCTTCTACCTCAGCAGACGAACGCCAGCTTCATTACTCATGCTGACCCTAGGACACCGAGAAAGAAAACCAACAGCCAAGTGTCCACCTACGCCAGGCTACCCTCCTAAATCTGGTAACCCTCTGAAAACAGCTCACAGGTGTCCAACAACTTTGAGGTTTTACCTCCAGAGATTTCTAAACAGAAACCCCTACATAATGCACCCAATAATGTCTTAGGAAAAACAAATCCGCCTTTCTTAAATCTATAAAAGAGGAAAGGGGCTTACCAAAACAATTTTCCATACCACCAGAAAAAAAAACACAACTGCTTTCTTCAAGACCCAATTAGCATTAAGTCCTCTGCAGTTACACGCTTCGGTATGTCAGGAAATGCCTTCCACCAATTACTCAGCTAGAATGCAACTGGGCAAGACCATGCCTCTCATCACTTTTCCGACACATGCCACAGTTCTCCAACAGCACAACGGATTACCAACCGCATCCACAAGAAACACCTATCCTAAAATTTCAAGTCCTACTTAGCCAATCAAGCTTACATCCTCAACAATGGAAAAACACATCAGCTTAGCTGCAGCTCCTGTGTACCAGACAAAGATTTTAAAACCAAGATTCATGGGAGGAAAGAAAACAAACAAACAAAAAAAAGCAATCATTTGTCCACTATCTTTTCTAGCATCTTGCAGCCTAGTCAAAAGAAGAAGGGTTGAAAAAAAGAGAAAAATGATCACACACAAGCCAGAAGTCATCCAAACAATAAACATGGCTGGTTCAAGAGGGAAGAACAATCATTTATTCAGTTATTCAATAATTTTTAAAACATCAGTGCTATATTCAATAATTGTTAAAACATTAGGGCTATATACAAAAAGCATTATTTTAATGAGGCCAAAGTAGTTGGATAATATGTAACAACGGAATGTGTCCAAACATAATGTGTGATAGGAACAAACAGGTCCACCGTCAGCTTCCTAACGATGTTTTCAAACAGGGAGGAACTTTAAGAAGGGAAACTGTCTCAGAAGATTTCATTAAACTCAAGGGTTTGTTTGGTTTTTTCGATTTTTTTTCCTCCCCGATGAATTTGAAAAAAAAAGCGCTTTTTTCCAAAGTTAGAATTTATTTTAAAAATCTGTGTAATTGAATTCAGTCGCACATTTTAACAAAGCTTACTATGCAAATATACAGAGATACAATCTATTGCCTTCTCTTCCCATCTCCACTTCCCATCCGCTGATTCCTTTCAAAGAGCTATAAGGACGTGCACAGATGCTATCGCAAATGCAAACTTCCGTTCCAGTCCCTATCCTAAAGAAAATAATAATTTCCCAGAAAAGCAGAATCAAGCTGTCACCCGCAGAACCTTAATCCCCTCAATGCCCATGTTGCCAAAATAAAAGCTAGATGCCCTTAGGGAAGCAATCCTCAGACATTTCACATGCAAAGGGGGGGGGGGGAATCAATTAAAAATAATCATGAAAATAAAAAGGTGGAAAAAGACAGACAACTTAAAAAGCAAACCACCACACCCTCAACTCTGCGTTGCAAACCCTTCTGCAAGGGGCCTTTACCTTCATTTTCCATCGAAACTGCACTCGGGTTGATGGCTACAAAGTCTTTAGTGTCAGCCACGGCCACACTGGGAATAGAGAGGAGAGGAGGAGGACAAGGAAGAGAAGACCCCGGAATCCCAGGCTGTCACCCCCGCTCCCGGCCACGCGTCCCACGGCTGCTCCCACCACCCCTAGCAGCAGCATCTGCAAGAGAAACCAGGAGAAGCGGAGCTGACGAGAGGGCAGAGGAGCAGGGCGACCCCCGCCCAGCCGCCACCTCCCGAGCCCACCCCCGGCGCCGCCCGCAGCGCCAGCGCCTCACACCAGCCGGGCGGCGCCCGAGAGGCGCCCTACCGGCAAGCAGCATTCCCCCGGACGCCCCCTTCCCTCCGGACCTGGAAGTTTCTGGAAATAGGGGCAGGAGTGGATACCCGGAATCCTCCCCGACACCCCAGACGTCCCCCCCATCTCCAGGCTGCGAGGACTCACTCGCGGGGCTGCGGGGGGCGCCCCACGCGCCTCGGGCGAACGGGCGCTGCTGGCGGCGCGGCAGCCGCGCGTCCAGGGGAGAACCGGAGATCGAGCAGGACAGCGGCGGGGAGGGGAGAGGAGGAGCGGCGAGGGGCCCCCGTCAAGCTCGGCCCGTCGGCTCCGCGCGTCTCCGCGCACAGCCGAGCAGCTCTGCTCCCGCCTCCGCCTCCTGCGCTCCGCCCCTCCCCGCCGCCCGCCCGCCCGCCCGCCCGCCCGCACGGCGCGCCCTGCACTACCCGGCCCGCCGCCCACCGGGCTTTGTCGCTACCACTTCCGCCGGGAGAGGCGCGCGCGCAGGCGCACTCCGGCTCTCTGCGCGGGTGAGCGGAAGTGCAGTGAGCCCGAGCCTGGGGGCCGTAATGGATGTTGGCCGGGGATGGAGAGGCTTTGTAGGACCGCGCTCAGGGCCCAACGGTGTCTGCCGGCTTTCTACACACCCGCCGGGTGCAAGGGGCGGAAGCATGCCCGTCCCCTTCTTCGGCCACACATTCCCTCGAGGCGGCCGTGGGATGGAGACACAGGGTCAGACACAGTCATGGCCGTGTCCCTGAGTCGCCTGGGCACTCTATACACAGCCCTGGAAGTCTCTCCCGTCCCGCGGCCGTCACAATCTCCCCGGACGACACAGTGAGAAGCTGGTGTTTCTGTCAGCGCCCCCTCCCACACACACACACACACCCCAACGCGTCGTACCCTCCCTTGCAAACACCTGCTCTGGCTGCTTCTCTGGTCTTGCGAGGGCCACTTATCATGGAGCCAGTTTCCAAAATTCTGCCCTGGTCAGGAGTGTGTCCTAAGCCCGTGTGTCATGAAAGGGCAGGGTTCCGAGTGACAGCTCGAGGAACGACTCCTGACCTTTTTCACTGAGTGTATGCAACCAGAATAGCTAGAATAGCAACTGGCCCTCCATCAAAGCTGAAAAACCGGTATTGCCTTGGCCGCTATCGTTTTCCAAGTCAGCCTTTCACTTAACACCTCACACAAGCCACTAGTAAGTGATTTTTGATGAATAATTGCTAAGCTTGGTGAGCTCAGGTAGCAATTGAGCCAATCTCTCACCTATATCCACTAGAGGGCAGAACTACACCTGTGGCCAGTTCCTGAGCATCCTCCAAAGACACCTCCCACCCCCAGTCTGCTCCAAAGAAAAAGCCCCTACATGTTACAGGTATTTTTCTTCCATCACTAAATAACTATTACAAAGTTGCTCTTTTATATCAGGGCCTGTAACATGCTTCCAACCACACGTTCAATATAATGAGCCAAGTTGTCTGTCTTCCTGTGTTAGGTACCTGGTAAGTTAAGCTAAATTTAGGATCAGAAATTCTGAACAGCTTTGAGGTCGACACACACACTTTCATTTTGAAAAATGACCAGGCATAGTGGTTCATGCAACTCTTAGGAGGCAGAAGCAGAGGATGGCCACAAGTTTGAGGCCAGGACCATCTAGAAATACTTATTATCTCCACTTTGGTTTGTATGCTTAATTATGTTTGTGTGACCAGTGGCATAAGTTTGTGGTTTCTATATAATAAATTTGCCGTCTTATGCTTAGTTTTAAAATCAGTTTGTAACAGTTAATAGTACTTACAGAACCTTAATGCTACAACAATCATCATTTAAAAAACTATGTTTGTAAGGTAGATTACATGATATAAACACTTAAATTCATATATAGACTTATGGAAAAAGTAATTTCATTGTTGTGCTGGGTTTTTTGTTTTTTTTTTTTTTTTTTGTTTTTTTTTTGTCAACTTGACACATCTGGTAGGATGGAACTTCAACCGAGAAAATGTTTCCATCAGGATACTCTATAGGCAAGTCTGTGAGACATTTTCTTAATTGATTGATGTGGGAGTGCCTGGATCACTATGGGAGTGCCACCTATGGGCAGATGGTCCTGGGTTGTATAAAATGGCAAGCTGAGTGAGCCATGAAAAGCAAGCCAGTAAGCAGTGTTCCTCCATGGGCTCTGCTTCAGTTTCTTCCTCCGGGTTCCTGCCTTGGCTTCCCTCAGTGATGGACTGTGATTGGGAAGTATATGCCAAATAAACCCTTCCCTTCCCAAGTTGCTTTTGGTTGTTGTCTTATAAAGGCAATAGAAAAGCAAATCAGGACATATGTATTGTAAGTTATTGGACTAATTAATCGAAACTGTGTGAATGTGTGTGTTGCTTGATGGAACATAGGGTTGTATGCACTGCTATGCAAGTACCTTAGCACCGAGCTACATGTACATATCCAGAACTAAAACATTTCATTCAAAGCAAGTTTTTTAGCATTTCTGATTGTGCCCTGAACATTCTATTAATACTTAATCCAAAGTTACCCCCAAATATTTACAGACAGTACCTTACACTAAAGTTTTACTAAATTGTGAAAATCTTTATCCTGTTGCTAAGAAAAAAAAATGGTTAAGGCCAATACTGCCAAAGAATTGTTATATATTTCAGTCTTTAATTCACTGCCAGTCATCTCTCAAATGCTTAGACCTGGAGACAGCCAAGAGCCTGGAAATAATTGGTTCAACTTTTTAGCTTATCCTTGAGTTTCATCCATATGTCCACTCTGCACCAGATCAATACCCCCTCATCAGCCAACATCAGTAACATCAACTTCTACTTCCTATGATTGAAAGTTAGCATTTATTATGTATATGCATATAATTTATATATTAAAACTTTAATTAATACTATTAAAGCCAGAGCAGCAGGTCACAGATTTCAGAAATGCCACCTTCTCTCATTTCCTCCTCAGAGCATGCTGGACCCTTCTGTGAGGTGCTGTATAGCCATCCACCTCAGCATGTGAGAAAGGGACTAAAATGCATGCACATATATAAGTACTCTTTTTCCCCTAATATAACAAACTTGTTGGAAGGGACTGAAGAAGCAAATGAAGACAACATATAAAATACAAGCATTGCCAAGGTTTAAGCTCATTATGTGAAAGAAAAAAGCAGACTAGCTATAACGAGACTGATGGTCATGAAATATAATATGTCCAAGTTACCTTGCAGTCAACTGTTGCAGAATATTACTTTAACTGTGTAAAGGCATGTTACATTTGTTTATGCTGCATTTGTTTTAGCTATGTAAAGATGTGTTGCTGTTTCACCTTGCCTGTCTAAGGCACCTGATTGGTCTAATAAAAAGGCTGAATGGCCAATAGCTAGGCAGAGGATGGATAGGCGGGGCTGGCAAGCAGAGAGAATAAGGAGGAGGAATAAGTAGGCTGGAGAGAGAAGAGAAGTAGAGAGAGGAGAGGAGAGAACAAGAAAGGAAGAAAGAGAGATGCCTGGAGCCAGATAGGCAGGCAGTCGTCAGCCAGACATAGAGTAGGACACACAGAACAAAAGAAAGGTAAAAAGCCCTAAGGCAAAATGTAGATGAAGAGAAACAGGTTAAACTAATTTATAAGAACTAGTGGGACAAGCATAAGATAAGGCTGAGCATTCATAACTACTAATAAATCTCTGTGTCATGATTTGGGAGCTGGTTGGCAGCCAAAAGAAAGCCTGCTCCAGTCAACCCCCTAAAGTTCCTTGAGAAGTCAACCTCCTAAATTTTGAATTTGACTCCTTTTGTTTTGAATATTTAACCTACAAAATTAAATACATCTTGTGCAAAAAGTGATTTGAGGAGCTGAGGTTGTTCCTCAGTGGTGAGGTACTTTGGTTTAAACTTCAGCACCACCAAGAAAGAAAGAAAGAAAGAAAGAAAGAGAGAGAGAGAGAGAGAGAGAGAGAGAGAGAGAGAGAGAAAGAAAGAAAGAAAGAAAGAAAAAAAAAAAAGAAAGAAAAGAAAGAAAGAAAGAAAGAAAGAAAGAAAGAAAGAAAGAAAGAAAGAAAGGGGGTGAGATGAGAAAGAAAAGTGGTCACATGAGAGATAAGGGGAGAATTGTGAGGCTTCTTTTCTTGGGGAAATATTACAGTTGGGGAAGAGTGGGAAAGAATGGTCATGATGTTCCAATTTTATCCATACTGTGCCTTATTCTACATAGGATATGAGCCACCTTGTTTTTAATGTTAAATTATAATAAAATTTGAACATTTAAAAATACATGAAGACAAAACATATTTTGTAAGTTAGCCTAGTCCAACTAATTTTTTTACCCAGTAAAGGAAGGACATGCAAAGTGTCAAGTATGACAGCTGCCATTTTTATAAATCCAGATGATAAAGGAATATGGATTTTAAAACTAAAACTTAAGAAAATTTACTTTTAAATCTTCTTTCAATTAATGTCTTCTTTTAAACTTTTAACATCATCTGAACTAAAGCATCAAATTTTAATAGTTCACCTACTTCCTAGAAAAAGTAAGTGGGCAAAGATAAGTGCCCTGAAGTTCACTATCCCATACAGCTGGTCTAAAGAAAATTGCTGAGCATTGCTGTGGGATGTTCTGTATGGCAAATGTGTTGCTAATTAGTCAATAAATAAAACACTGATTGGCCATTGGCTAGGCAGGAAGTGTAGGCGGGACAAGGAGGAGAATAAAGCTGGGAAGTGGAAGGCTGAGGCAGAGAGACACTACCAGCTGCCACGATGAGAAACAGCATGTGAAGATGCTGGTAAGCCACGAGCCATGTGGCAAGGTATAGATTAATGGAAATGGATTAATTTAAGCTGTAAGAACAGTTAGCAAGAAGCTTGCCATGGCCATACAGTTTGAAATCAATATAAGTCTCTGTGTTTACTTGGTCGGGTCTGAGCAGCTGTGGGACTAGCAGGTGAGAGAGATTTGCCCTGACTGTGGGCCAGGCAGAAAAACTCCATCTACAGAGCATTTTTATGCATATGTATGTATGCTCGTGAGTGTGTGTGTGTGTGTGTAGAAGCCAACTTTGGATGCCATCCTTAGAAACACCCTTCACCTTCTTTGAGACAGGTCTATAATTGGTCTAGGGCTACCCAGGTATCCCCCTGTCTCTGCCTCCCTAGTGCTGGAATTATAAACACATGCTACTATGCTCAGCTGGAGATGGAACTCAGTTTTCACACTTGCAAGACAAGCATATTACTGACAACTATCTTGCCGGACTCTCAAAGTTGAACATTTTTCTAAAAGATACAAGGACACAACCCTTTTTCTAAGTACTCCAACTATACAATAAAGGGCATGTGAAGTGTCAAGTCTGAGAAAAATGGGGTCACTGCAAAGAGTGTCATATGAAATCAGTGTCTAGCAGCTGCCTGCCAGAA